GTGCACCTCGTTGCGGTCTAATGGTTAGAAAGTTTGTCTCACTAGAACAATTACGACTGAATAGTGAGTTCGATCCTCACTGGGTGCCCCATACTTTCGGCCTTGTGCCACATCTCAGCTATGCTTTGTGCACCTCGTTCCGAATTCGAACCCGGCTCCTAAATCCATTTTTCCGCGCCGATAACCATTACATAGTGAGTTCAAATGTTATTTCGGTCTTCTATATTTGGCGGTCTCGTGCCGTACTGATCTGATCGAAATAAACTTCAGTAGAACACACACTTAAATCCATCTTGATTACACCCAGTGAATCTGTCTTTCCATGCGATAACCGACTAATATAGGAAGACATTTAACGTGCATAGCGAAGTATGCAAAGGAAATGACGTCACCAGACAGTTGTCTGTTGTGTGATTCGCTGGATTTTTTTTTCTGCGAATAAATTCAGGAATACAGACAATAAATACTAAATAAATAAATGAATTATTTCACTGGATGCCTTGGGTGATCACAGAAATCCGACAAAGTCGAATTCATGAAGGTTTTAACTAATTGATTATTATTATTATTATTATTATTATTAGTAGTAGTATTAAAGAAAATGATTAGCATCTGTCTATATTTCAGAGATGAGCGATTGTAACTATTTACACTATTTACATTGTTCAAACCGTTGTCCACATCTTCATTGTCACATTCACAACCTTTCAGCCGTTGTGCGCCCCGGCCTTCTTCAGGATCTATCTTTATTTCTGAGATGAGGTATTGTAACTATTTACACTATTTACATTGTTCGGGCCGTTCTCCTAATCTTTATTGCCACGTTTACGACGTTTCGGCAGTTATACGCTCCGGTCATCTTCATGATCTGTCTATATTTCTGCAGTGAGGTATTGTAACTATTTACACTATTTACATTGTTCGGGCCGTTCTCCTAATCTTTATTGCCACGTTTACGACGTTTCGGCAGTTATACGCTCCGGTCATCTTCATGATCTGTCTATATTTCTGCAGTGGGGTATTGTAACTATTTACACTATTTACATTGTTCGGGCCGTTCCCCTAATCTTTATTCCCACGTTTACGACGTTTCGGCAGTTATACGCACCGGTCTTCTTCATGATCTGTCTATATTTCAGAGATGAGCGATTGTAACTATTTACACTATTTACATTGTTCAAACCGTTGTCCACATCTTCATTGTCACATTCACAACCTTTCAGCCGTTGTGCGCCCCGGCCTTCTTCAGGATCTATCTTTATTTCTGAGATGAGCTATTTAACTATTTACACTATTTACATTGTTCGGGCCGTTCTCCCTAATCTTTATTGCCACGTTTACGACGTTTCGGCAGTTATACGCTCGGTCATCTTCATGATCTGTCTATATTTCTGAGATGAGGTATTGTAACTATTTACACTATTTACATTGTTCGGGCCGTTCTCCTAATCTTTATTGCCACGTTTACGACGTTTCGGCAGTTATACGCTCGGTCATCTTCATGATCTGTCTATATTTCTGCAGTGAGGTATTGTAACTATTTACACTATTTACATTATTTGGGCCGTTCTCCCTAATCTTTATTGCCACGTTTACGACGTTTCGGCAGTTATACGCTCGGTCATCTTCATGATCTGTCTATATTTCTGCAGTGAGGTATTGTAACTATTTACACTATTTACATTGTTCGGGCCGTTCCCCTAATCTTTATTCCCACGTTTACGACGTTTCGGCAGTTATACGCACCGGTCTTCTTCATGATCTGTCTATATTTCTGAGATGAGCTATTGTAACTATTTACACTATTTACATTGTTCAAACCGTTGTCCTCATCTTTATTGTCATATTCCAACCTTTCAGCCATCGTACGCTACGGCCTTCTTCAGGATCTATCTTTATTTCTGAAATGAGCTATTGTAACTATTTACACTATTTACATTGTTCGGGCTGTTGTCCTCATCTTTATTGTCATATTCGCAACCTTTCGGCCGTTGTACGCCCCGGCCTTCTTTAGGTTGAAATTCTTGGAATTCTCTTTCCCCGTATTCTTGCAGTATTAAGTTGCCTCATTTACACTATTTACATTGTTCGGACTGTTCTCCTCATCTTTATTGCCACGTTCACGACGTTTCGACAGTTATATGCGCCAGCCTTCTTCAGGATCTGCCTATATTTATGAGATAAGGTATTGTAACTATTTACACTATTTACATTGTTCGGACTGTTGTCCGCATCTTTGTTGTTATATTCAAGACTTTTCAGTCGTTTTACGCTACGGCCTTCTTCAGGTAAAAATTCTTAGAATTTTATCACGCCTTATTCTTACAGCATTAAGTTACCTTATTTACACTATTTACATTATTCGGGCTGTTCTTCTCATCTTTGTCATCATATTCACGACGTTTCGGCAGTTGTAGCTCCGGCCTTCTTCAGGTGAAATTCTTGCAATTTTTTCTCTCCTTATTCTCATCGTATTAAGTTACCTTATTTACACTATTTACATTGCTCGGATTTTTGTACTCATCTTTGTTGTCATATTCCCGACGTTTCGGCCGTTGTACGCTCCGGTCTTTTTCGGGTGATTGGAATTTCGAACTGAACTCTTTATTTCGTCCACCGGAGTAGATTGTTCTAGTTCCACGTACCATGGCTCTTCCAGGTGTCTCAATGAAATTTTTAAAGAAAGGTGTTAACTATTAGTAGTCGGCATCGATTAATCTCTCAAGATAATGGTAATGCCTACTGTTTGGTCAAAGATTCAGTACTTTGGAGTTTGGAGTGGTTTACCAGACCAATCTTTGCGTAGGATTCCTATCTGTAGGTGTGGCAGATGAAGCTGGAATGTGGAATGGAGGTCTGATATTACTATCTCTGCTCCCTCCATAGTCTTCGCCTTTTCCTGGCCTTCGTACGTCCGCCTTGAACAGCATGTCTCCAGCCGCTAAGATCGTCTGCCAGCTGTTCCGATCTACAGGAGTTGAAGCTTGTGCGTTTCAGACCCCGCTTGCAAACGTCCCTGAAATCTAGTGTAGGGTAGCTAGCTCATCGTGCATGGTGTCTTTTGGTATACAGCCGTCATTCATTTAATTTGCATGACTCCTCCATACTTTGATAAAGGAGAATCCTAAGCAAAGTTTAATGTTACGTATGCGAAATATGGTCTCGAATGGAAACGTGAGACTATATCATTCATAGGTAAGTTTTATAACTCTAAGTGAAAATCATGCTTCTGGAGCAGAAAATTTGGCATGAAATTTGAGGCAAGTGTTTAACCCGCATCCATTTATCTGGTGATAAGGATAGCGATGTTTTTGGCCAAATATTGTTCTTTTGCGAGCAGCAATTGGAGTGATTTAACAGACCAATCTTTGCATGACACTCTCTTCGGTAGGTGTGGCAGATGAAGCTGGAATGTGGAATGGAGATCTGATATTGCTACCTCTGCTCCCTTCATAATCTTCGCCTTTTCCCGGCCTTCGTACGTCCACCTTGAACAGCATGTCTCCAGCCGCTAAGATCGTCTGCCAGCTGTTCTGATCTACAGGAGTTGATGCTTGTGCGTTTCAGGACTCGTTTGCAAATATCCCTGAAATCTAGTGTAGGGCGGCTAGCTCACCGTGCATGGTGTCTTTTTGATATAAGGCCGTCATTCATTCGATCCGCATGACCCATCCAGATTTTGATAAAGGAGAAACTGAATGTTACGTATGGGAAAGTTTTATTACTTTGAATGAAAATCATGATTCTGGAGCAGGAAGTTTGGAATGAAATTTGAGGCAAGTGTTTAACTAGCATTAATTCGCATCCATTTATCTGGCGAGATAGCAATCTTTTTAGCCAAACATTGTCCTTGATTGGCGTGGCTTAACAGACCAATCTTTGCATGACACTCTCTTCTGTAGGTGTGGCAGATGAAGCTGAAATGTGGAGTGGAAGTCTGGCATTGTTATCTTTGCTCCCTTCGTTGTCTTCGCCTTTTACCGACCTTCATGACTTCCTTGAAAAGCATGGCGCCAGTCGCTATGATCGTCTGCTGGCTTTTCCCAGCTACTGGAGTCGATGAATGTGAGTTTCATGTCCCTCTTGCAAACGTCTTTGAAACGTAATGTAGGGCGTCCTACCGGACGGTGTCTCGTGGCCAACTCACCGTAGACGATGTCTTTTGGTATAAGGCCGTCATTCATTTGATCTGCATGACCCATCCAGATTTTGATAAAGGAGACACTTAGAGTTTAATGTTACGTATGAGAAATATGGTCTCGTGTGGAAACGCGAGGCTATATCATTCATAGGGAACCATGTTTTATTACTTTGAATGAAAATCATGATTCTGGAGCAGGAAGTTTGGAATGAAATTTGAGGCAAGTGTTTAACTAGTTTTAATTCGTATCCATTTATCACGTGAGATAAAGAAAGCGCCCTTTTTACTCAAGCATTGTCTTTTTGCGAGCAGTGATTGGAGTGGCTTAACAGACCAATCTTTGCATGACACTCTCTTCTGTAGGTGTGGCAGATGAAGCTGGAATGTTGAATGGAGTTTTGGCATTGCTATCTCTCTGCTTCCTTCGTTGTTATCTGGTTTCGCCTTGTCACTGCCTTCGTGACTCCTTCTTGATCAACATGGCGCTAGCCGCTGCGATCGTCTGCTAGCTTGCTTTTCCCAGCGACCGGAATCGATACCCTCTGAGTAAAATCGAAATAAAGACAGAAATAAAAAAAAAGAAAGATTAAAAAAGAAAAAAAGGGAAGGAACATAAAGAAAGAAGATAAAAAGAAAAAAAAAGACGACGAAAAAAGAAATTAGAAAAAAAAAAAAAAAAAAGAAAACCAAAATTGGAAACAAAAGAAAAAGAAAGAAAGAAAAATGAAGGAAAACGAAGAAATAAAAAGAAGAATTAAAAGGAAAAAAAACTGAATAAAATTTTTAAAAATACGAGAGGAAACGAATAAAACAATAAAAATGAGAAAAGGTTATAAAGTGATTGAGACAAGAAAAGAAAATGAAAAAAATCTGTCTGTTCATATCTATCTATCTATCTATCTATCTATCTATCTCTCTCAGTCTGTTCACATCTATCTATCTATCTATCTATCTATCTATCTATCTATCTATCTCAGTCTGTTCATATCTATCTATCTATCTATCTATCTATCTATCTATCTATCTATCTCAGTCTGTTCACATCTATCTATCTATCTATCTATCTATCTATCTCAGTCTGTTCACATCTATCTATCTATCTATCTATCTATCTATCTATCTATCTATCTATCTCAGTCTGTTCATATCTATCTATCTATCTATCTATCTATCTATCTATCTTCATTGTCTATCTCTCTCTCTCGGTCTGTTCACATCTATCTATCTATCTATCTATCTATCTATCTATCTATCTATCTCTCAGTCTGTTCACATCTATCTATCTATCTATCTATCTATCTCTCAGTCTGTTCACATCTATCTATCTATCTATCTATCTATCTATCTCTATCTATCTCTCAGTCTGTTCATCATCTATCTATCTATCTATCTATCTATCTATCTCAGTCTGTTCATATCTATCTATCTATCTATCTATCTATCTATCTCAGTCTCATTCACATCTATCTATATCTATCTATCTATCTCAGTCTGTTCATCTATCTCATCTATCTATCTATCTATCTATCTATCTATCTATCTCAGTCTGTTCATATCTATCTATCTATCTATCTTCATTGTCTATCTCTCTCTCTCGGTCTGTTCACATCTATCTATCTATCTATCTATCTATCTATCTATTCATCTATCTATCTCAGTCTGTTCATCTATCTATCATCTATCTATCTATCTATCTATCTATCTATCTATCTCAGTCTGTTCCATATCTATCCTATCTATCTATCTATCTATCTATCTTCATTCATATCTATCTCTCTCAGTCTGTTCATCTATCTATCTATCTATCTATCTATCTCTCTCAGTCTGTTCATCTATCTATCTATCTATCTCTCTCAGTCTGTTCATCTATCTATCTATCTATCTATATCTATCTATCTATCTATCTATCTATCTCAGTCTGTTCATATCTATCTATCTATCTATCTATCTATCTATCTCAGTCTATTTCATCTATCTATCTATCTATCTATCTATCTATCTATCTATCTATCCCATCTCTGTTCAGTCTATTCATCTATCTATCTATCTATCTATCTATCTATCTATCTCAGTCTGTTCTATTCATCTATCTATCTATCTATCTATCTATCTTCATTGTCTATCTCTCTCTCGGTCTGTTCATCTATCTATCTATCTATCTATCTATCTATCTATCTATCTATCTATCTATCTCAGTCATCCATCTATCTATCTATCTATATCTATCTATCTATCTATCTCAGTCTGTTCATATCTATCTATCTATCCCAGTCTGTTCATCATCTATCTATCTATCTATCTATCTATCTATCTATCTATCTATCTATCTCTCTCAGTCTGTTCACATCCATCTATCTATCTATCTATCTATCTATCTCAGTCTGTTCATATCTATCTATCTATCTATCTATCATCATTGTCTATCTCTCTCTCTCGGTCTGTTCACATCTATCTATCTATCTATCTATCTATCTATCTATCTATCTATCTATCTCAGTCTGTTCACATCTATCTATCTATCTATCTATCTATCTCAGTCTCTTCATATCTATCTATCTATCTATCTATGTATCTATCTTCATTGCTATCTATCTCTCTCGGTCTGTTCACATCTATCTATCTATCTATCTCTCTCAGTCTGTTCACATCTATCTATCTATCTATCTATCTATCTATCTCAGTCTGTTCATCATCTATCATCTATCTATCTATCTATCTATCTATCTATCTTATCTGTCTATCTATCTATCTATCTATCATCATCTATCTATCTATCACATCTATCTCAGTCTGTTCACATCTATCTATCTATCTATCTATCTATCTATCTATCTATCTATCTCAGTCTATCTCTATCTATTCATTGATCGATCGATCTCAGTCATCATATTCATCTATCTATCTATCTATCTATCTATTCATCTATCTACTTCAGTCTGTTCACATCTATCTATCTATCTTTCTATCTATCTATGTATCTATCTTCAGGCCATCTATCTATCTCTCTCAGTCTGTTCATCTATCTATCTATAGTCTATCTATCTATCTCTCTCAGTCTGTTCATCTATCTATGAGATCTATCAATCTCAGAATCTATCTCATCTATCTATGTATCTATCTATCTATCTCCAGTCTGTTCACATATCTATCTATCTATCTATCTATCTAGTCTATCTATCTATCTATCTAGAAATCATATCTATCTCAGTCTGTTCACATCTATCTATCTCTATCTATCTATCATCTCAGTCTGTTCATAATCTATCTATCTATCTGGTTTCTATCATATCTATCTATCTCAGTCTGTTCATATCTATCTATCTATCTATCTATCTATCTATCTATCTATCTATCTATCTTGTTTATCTATCTATCTATCTCTCTCTATCTGTTCATATCTATCTATTCTCTATCTATCTATCTATCCATCTATCTATCTCATCTCAGTTGTTCATATCTATCTATCTATCTATCTATCTATCTTTCTATCTATCTATTGTATCTATCTATCTCAGTTTGTTTCATCTATCTATCTGTCTATCATCTATCTATCTATGTTTCTATCTATCTATCTATTGTTTCATCTATCTATATATCTATCTCCAGTCTGTTTTATCTATCCATTCTAAAATCTATCTATCTATCTGATCTAGTCTATCTATCTATCTATCTATCTCAGTCTGTTGAAACTATCTCATTATCTGTCCATCTATCTCAGTCTGAGTCTAAATATCAACCATTATATCATCTCAGTCTGTCGACATCTATCTATCTATCAGTCTTTACATTGAAATATCTATCTATCTATATCTCAATCTATCTATCTCAATCTGTTTTATCTATCTATCAGTTCTAAAAGTCTCAGTCTGTTCACATCTTATCTATCTATCTATCTATCTATCTATCTATCTGTCTATCTATAGATCTCAGTCTGTGGAATTTTATCTATCTATTATATTTTCTATCCTATCTATCTCAATCTGTTCCATTTGAATTGTCTTATCTATCTATCTAAAAATAATCTATCTATCTATCTATCTCGGATCTATTTAACATCTATCTATCTATCTATCTATCTATATATGTATCTATATCTCTATCTCTTGATATCAGGTCTGTTCATATCTATCTATCTATCTATTTATCTATATATCTGTCTATCTATATCAGTTTTTTTTATCTAATATCATATTATCTGTTGTCTATCTATCTTTAATGTTGTTATTTTTATTACATTGGTCGGATGATCCCAACACCTCTATCTATTTAATGCCTATCTCTAGGGGTTTCTGTTCACATCTATTATCTATCTAAATAAATCTATCTATCTATCTCAGTCTGTTCATATGTATCCATCTATCTCTGTTCATTATCATTATCTATCTATGTCAGTCTGTTCACACATCTATCTATCTATCTATCTATCTATCTATCTATCTATCTTCATTGTCTATCATCTCTCTCATATTTTCACGTACTATCTATCTATCTATCTTCATTGTCTATCTCTCTCTCATTCTGTTCACATCTATCTATCTATCTATCTTCATTGTCTATCTATCTCTCTCAGTCTGTTCACATCTATCTATCTATCTATCTATCTATCTATCTATCTATCTATCTATCTATCTATCTAGAGGAATATGCGTGGATGAGATGAAGAAATAAACGATCTTTCACACGGCTCTACAAAGTAAATATTTATTTTAGAGTATTAAATCTTTTTCAAATTGAAAAAAGAATTGCAAAGATTATTTGCGAAACAACTTCACACAAAATATTTTATCTTTCTTTAAAATACAACCGAATCAATTGCGTTAGTATAGAAGAAGCAGGATGCACCTACATGTGAGAATGTGTGTCACGTATTTACGTTGTTTTATGTATGCATGTAATTTTGTAGGAGTCTGCAACTGATAAGCAGTGATCTTGGCTAATACTGCTGCTTACGCTTGTAAACAAACTCAGTCCGTATTTTTTGTGTCAACATCGCAAAGCTTATTTTTGCAATATAGTATTCACGAATAAATATGCGAAAATGGGAGTAATTAATTATGGTTTGGGATTTTCCGTTTGCACGACATTCGAACAACCACCTTGGTCAAAGGTCAACTTCAAAAACAATTTTGCAAACTAAAAATGATCGCATATATAACGAAACATCGGCTACAGAAACAACAACAAAAATAGATTTATTAATCTCATAATTTTATTGGCTAATAAATATTTTCTCAGTTTTTAAATATCCATTTCAAAAAGGGAAAATAGTGTTGTTGATTTTCTGAAGTCTATACTCCCGAACATCGTAGCGGACAACAAATATTGTCTGGAAATTCAAAGACTATCGCGCAACTAATATGACGTCGCTATCTATCTATCTATCTATCTATCTATCTATCTATCTATCTATCTATCTATCTATCTATCTAAGTAGCTAGTTAGTCTAGCCATATCTATCTATCTATCTATCTATCTATCTATCTATCTATCTATCTATCTATCTATCTATCTATCAGTGTCTGCTCATCTATCTATCTATCTATCTATCTATTTTATCTATCTATCTATATTCAGCTAGTTAGCTAGCCCAGTCTATTCATATCTATCTATCTATCTATCTATCTATCTATCTATCTATCTATCAGTGTCTGCTCATATCTATCTATCTATCTATCTATCTATCTATCTATCTATCTATGTAGCTAGTTAGCTAGCCCAGTCTATTCATATCTATCTATCTATCTATCTATCTATCTATCTATCTATCTATCTATCTATCAAAGATGATACAAAAATTACAGCAATAAAGGATCCCAACACCAAGAAATATCAATGGAACCTCATTAAATGACAAATAAACACAGCCAAACAGGAATTACAATGGCTCAACACTGAAATTTTATGTATTAAAGGAATCTTACAATCTACTACAACTGAAAAATTCAAGGAAATATTGGATTTAATTACATAATACAACGGAAAAGGAAAATGAATCCCATAAACAAATCCAAAAAAAGTTAAACAAATTGTATAAGGGAAAAATACTTTTACCAAACATCAGCGACGACTTCCTTAATCTATCGGATTAGCAACTCACGCCAAATTAAATCGAATTCCTTAATCTTGAACCAAATTTTCATGTTGCACAAAAACCTAATTTAATGTTTAAACAAACGCAAACTGAAGCTTTATACAAACAAATACTTCTTCAAGCAGATTGCTACACAGGTTGGTTTAAAATAATTACTTAAAGCCGAATATATTAAACACCGTTATCATAAAAATCTATCTCAGTCTGTTCATATCTATCTATCTCCTTTCATATCTATCTATCTATCTATCTATCTATCTATCTATCTATCTATCTATATCTATCTCATTTCATATCTTTCTGTCTATCTGTCTGTATATATCTATGTATCTATCTAGCTCAACCTGTTCATTATCTATCTTTCTCATTCTAATCATATCTATCTATCTATCTATCTATCTATCTATCTATCTATCTATCTATCTATCTAGCTCAGTCTGTTCATTATCTATCTTTCTCATTCTAATCTATCTATCTATCTATCTATCTATCTATCTATTTATCTATCTATCTATCTATCTATCTATGCAGCTAGCCAGATCAGACTGTTCATATCTATCTATCTATCTATCTATCTATCTAGGCAGACAAAAATATCAGTCAGTTCATTATCTATCTTTCTCATTCTACTTATATCTATCTATCTATCTATCTATCTATCTATCTATCTATCTCATTTCATATCTGTCTGTCTATCTATCTGTCTGTTCATGTCTATCTTTCTATCTGTCTGTTCATATCTACCTATGTGCACTCTTATCTATCTATCTATCTATCTATCTATCTATCTATCTATCTATCTATCTATCTATCTATCGAGCTAGATAGCTAGCTAGCTAGCTATATCAGTCATTTCATAATCTATCTATCTTTCTCAATCTATGCTTATCTATCTATCTATCTATCTATCTATCTATCTATCTATCAAAAATGATGACAACAGTCGTTTAAAAAAAGAAAAAAATTACAGTAGCCATGTTCTTTGTAGTGGAATGCAATATATGGCATAAGAAATCTTATAGAAAATTAATTATACATTCTGCAATACTTTGAGGAAGTTGCCTTTTACTTACATTGTTGGCTCTTTGAAAAGAGCGCTGTAAATGCAAGAGCAGCTTAACGTTTCTGTTGAAACACCGCGGATGACAATATCGAAGATAATCGCAGATGACAACGGCATTTGATAATAAGGCAGGGAAGAGGGCCTTTTTTTATTGTTTAAACGGACACGACAAAGCTAAACACAGTGTTAAACATGTAAAGAGAGATAAAGATACTGCAAATGTAGAAAGAAAGAGAGAGAGGGAGGGAGTGAGAGAGACTGGGGGAGGAGGAAGATGAAGTGAGAAGGAAAATATTAAGTAAATGATTAATAATAAGAATTATATTTGATATTATTAGAATAATGAAAGAGTTTTGTGTCCGAAGAAAATGCAAAGGTACAGGCATAATGGAAAATCTATCTATCTAGCTAGCTAGCTACCTAGCTATCTATCTGTTTATTTTCTAACTCGTTCTGTTCATCTATCTATCTATCTATCTATCTATCTATCTATCTATCTATCTATCTATCTATCCCATTTCATATCTAGCACTCTGTTTACGTCTATCTTTCTATCTGTCTGTTCGTATCTATGTGCACTCCTATATTTCTTTCTTTCTTTCTTTCTCATTTCATATCTATCTATCTATCTATCTATCTCTCTATCTATCTATCTATCTAAGCCAGAAACAGCAATCTGTATCTAGGCTTGCTTACATCTATCTATCTCAGTTTGGCCACATCTATCTATCTATCTATCTATCTATCTATCTATCTATCTATCTCATTTCATATCTATCTGTCTGTTCATGTCTATCTTTCTATCTGTCTGTTCGTATCTATCTATGTGTACTCCTATATTTCTTTCTTTCTTTTTATCTATCTATCTATCTATCTATCTATCTATCTATCTATCTATCTATCTATCTATCTATGTGCACTCCTATATTTCTATCTATCTATCTGCCATGGTTCCTTACCTATAACTACAGAATGAACTCTTCCTAACACTATGTATTCTACGCCTCTCAAGAGAGAGGGACGAATCGAATCGAACCGATAGTAGTTCACTCCAAACCAAACTGACAGTCATACTAACACCTTCCACATCTTATATTATTATTTCGTGTGATATACCTTAGTTATTTCTACTCTTGTGTTGTGTTCGTTTTGCTCTTCCTTTGTCCTAACCTGGACCATAACAGTGGCGACGAGGATATTGAAGAAACAAATTCTAGGCGGAGTATTTTAAAAAAAAAAACAAAAAAAAACCCTTTTTGTTATCAGTCGTCCATAACAGAGGCGACGGATATATTGAGAAAAAACACAAGTTCTATGCGAAGATAAAAGATAAAAAAACTTTTTGGACACCAACCATAACAGTGGGAACGAAGACACGAATTTTACCTGTCAGTCAGAATAGAATCCAATTTTACGCAGGAAAATTTTTTCGTACCAAGGTTCCAGAACAACAGACGACAGAGACCTGAAGTCTACACTGAGAAAAAAAGGAGAAATCGTTACACAAGTACACAACTCTAGCTACAAAGTACATATTGCAAAAAGAAAAAGTAAGGGAAAAAGTGAGTTTTTTTTCCTCCTCTTCTCGTGACAACAGATAGCCTGTGTTATTATTAAATTACGGTGTAAACCTGGAAGACTTTGAGGCAACCATATTGGAACTAATGAAAATGCAATTCAAACCGAAAAAAAACAAAAAAAAAAAACGAAAAACTATTAGAAATTCAACAGAAAAACGAAGAAAAGCAACTCGAACTACAAGAATTAATACTACAAGCAGTAAAAAATAAAGGACAACATTCTGAAAATGAAGCGGCATTCTCGCAAAATGCTATATGGAGCTCAATCATTTATGCACCGGACGAAGACAAAACCTTCGTGGCTTACTTCAGAAGATATGAAGATTCATACGAGTTTTATTGCGGCAATTGGTCAGACGCGAAAAAAGTACGTCTACTACTGAGGGAAATAGGGTCAAGCGAATACACTAAATTCGTAGACTAAATCCTACCGAGGAAAACGAATGAGTTTGACTTTCAGGGAAGCCTTGAAACTTTTAACAGAATTATTTAGTTCGAACACTTCACTATTCCAAAAAAAGTGGAAATGTTTAAATTTAACAAAAAACGTTAGCGAAGACTATATAACCTTCGCTTCCGTAGTAAACAAACACTGCGATGACTTTAAGTTATCTGAACTCAGTCCTGACAATTTTAAAAGTTTGATATTCGGCCATGGCCTGGTTTCCACTAAAAATGCGGAGATCAGACGGAGAATTCTAACAAAACTGGAGAGTGAACCAAAACTGAAGCTACAAAAATTGGCTTAGGACTGTCAGAGATGTTTAAGCGTAAAAAAGGTCTCGAAAGATATCGAAGAGACTGGCATCGCTCACATACGAAAAGTACAACGACAAATGCGTTTTTCTGCCTCCTCAAAAACAAAACAAACCAATTATTTTACAAAAAGTCCAATGAAACCTCAGAAGAAACCACCACCCAGTCCATGCTATCGCTGTGGGACTTTACATTGGTACAAAAATTGTCCATACCGCTATAAGGCTTGTCTGTCGTGCAATAAAGTAGGATATAAAAGTTCGCACTGTAGAACCAAGAAAGAAAACAAAAGCCGAGTAAGAGTCACTAGAACTGACCAAGCGGGCGGGATAAATATACGAAAATACGTACAAGTAGAAATCAGATTACAATTAGATTCCGGATCAGATTTAACCATTATTAGCTTACAGACGTGGAAGAAATTAAAAAAAAAAACCCGACCATGTTGAAAACAGATAAAATAGCCAGGTCGGTAACAAGAAAAATCAAATTTGAGGGGGAGATTATCACAAATGTGACGTTCAACGGGATGACCAAGAAATTAAAGATGTATGTTCTAAAAATATGGAAAATTTATTTGGAACTGACTGGATGCAGAAATTTGACCTTTGGGATTTGCCGATAAATACGTTCTGCCAAAAAGTGGAAAGGTTATCGACCGAGGCAGAGAAATTGAAGGAGAAATTAAAGGAGAGTTTCCCCGACGTATTTTCAGCCGGCCTTGGGAGGTGTAAAAAGAAATGTACCTTTCGCATCATTAGAAAAGATAGACAAAGAGTTGGATAGACTCATGAAAACTGGTATATTGAAAAAGATGGAATGCAGTCAATGGGCCGCACCTATGGTTTACGTGAAAAAGAAATCGGGTGAGATACGAGTATGCGTTGATTTCTCGACCGGATTGAATGCAGCGATTAAGGATTATCACTATCCTCTCCCTAGTCCAGAGGAAGTTTTCACAAAGTTGAACGGAGGAAAATTTTTCTCAAAAATAGACCTGAGCGAAGCATACCTACAAGTACCAGTAGATGAGGAAAGCTCAAGGTTGTTGTGCATAAACACACAAAGGATTATACAAGTTCCAGAAATTACCATTCGGGATCAAGGTCGCGCCGGCGATATTTCAGCAAATAATGGACACTATGCTAGGCGGGCTGGATTTCACGATCGCATACCTTGATGAGATCCTGATAAATAGCAAAAAATATTGAACAACACTGGGAACACGCTCAAGAGGTTTTTAGGCAGATACAAAATTACGGTTTTAAGGTAAAGGAAAATAAATGTGACTTCTTTATGAAGGAGATAAAATATCTGGGCCATATTATTAACGAAGAAGGAAGAAGACCAGACCCAGAAAGAGCCACGGCAATAAAAAAAATGCCGGCTCCAAAAAATTTAGCCGAGTTACAAAGCTTCTTGGGCTTAGTAAATTATTATCAAGAATTTATTCCTAACATGCACAAATTACGCGCACCCCTAAACGAATTGTTGTTGAAGGAGGAAGTTTGGGAATGGTCATATGAATGACAGAAAACTTTCGACAAAATCATTATGACTTTAACAGCAGATTTATTTTTAGCGCATTATGATCCAAAATTAGAAATAATAGTCGCGAGTGACGTGAGTGCCTATGGTGTTAGGGCATGTTATACTTTATAAAATGCCAGATGGGACACTAAAACCCATCGCGCATGCGTGAAGAACGTTACTTCCAGCCGAACAAAATTACTCGCAAATCGAAAAAGAAGCACTGGGGATTATTTTTTTGATTACAAGATTCCACAGATATATTTACGGTAGATTTTTCACCTTGCAGACGGACCACAAGCCGTTACTAACAATATTTGGATCAAAGAAAGGTCTACCTGTCTACACTACTAGTAGATTACTAAGATGGGGGACGATTTTATTAAATTATAATTTCAAATTGGAGTATCTTCCATCAAACAAAATCGGGTATGCAGACGGTCTTTCGAGACTAATACCAAAGAAAACGGAACCATTAGAAGCTTCCGTAAATGCAGCTCTACGATATGAGGAAGATAGAATATCATTATGTAGTACAATTCGAAACCTCCCCGTCACATTACAGGAAATAAGAAACGAAGCAGTGAATGACGAATTTATAAAGGAAACGAAAACAAAAATTGCAGAAAAAGATAAGCATATATCAGACAGTTTTTCTTTATGTGATAATGTTCTGCTATATAATGAAAGAGTAGTAATCCCGAAAACGCTACAAAGGCGAATCCTCAAGGATTTCCACGTGGGCCACCCAGGAAAGAACAGGATGAAATCCTTAATGCGAAGTTACGTGTACTGGCCAAACATGGATCAAGATATTATACATATGGTGGACAAATGCAAGGTCCGTTCCTTAGCAGCCAAGGCACCTCCGATCACTCATAAGCCATGGCCTAAGACAGATCGACCGTGGTCGAGAATCCATGTACATTTCGCAGGTCCATTAGAGGGTTTCTACTACTTGATTGTAGTAGACAGTTACAGCAAATGGCCAGAAGTATTTCCTTGCAGAAAACCTACTTTTGAGACGACAATAAATTGCATTCACAAGCTGTTTGCTCGTTTCGGAGTGGTTGATTGTTTAGTCATCGATAATGGGATACAATTTCCATCATCGGATTTTCAAGAATTTTGTAAAACTTTTCAGGTGAAACACATCAAATCTCCGCCATATCACCCAAGGTCAAACGGGCAAGCGGAGAGGTTTGTAGATACATTAAAAAGAGCACTAAGGAAAGCTTATGACGTACCAACAGAAAAGGCTTTACAACAATTCTTGCAAGAGTATAGAATTACATCGAACGATACTACACCATCGGCATTATCGCCGGCGGAAGTAATGTTTGCCCGAAAAATTAGATCGGTATTCGACAAATTACTGTCAAAGCAGACAAAGCAATCACCAACGTCGTTTGTACCAAAAAGAAAATTTAGCCTAGGGGAGAAAGTTTTTTTAAATGTTCAAAAACAACACATCCTATTGGGAGCCAGATACAATAGAGAAACGAATCAGGAACGTGATTTACATAATTAAGGGTCCGAAGTTCTTGCATAAAAGGCACTTAAATCAGATCAGAAAGAGGCTGTTAGAGGATTCTAACGGTCTACCTCAGGAAGAGGAGGAAGTAATGGACACAATATTTAACACATTCAATATGCAAAGGCCTCAAGCAATTTCAGAACCGCGGAAATCAAGCAGAAAAAGAAAATTTAGAGAGCCTTTGATGATTAATCCGAAGAGGAAAAAATATTAAAGATCCCTGCGAGGTAAAAGCTTGGGAGGAGGGGGGTGATATGGGTCCTTACCTATAACTACAGAATGAACTCTTCCTAACATGGTCATGATTTTATGTTTGTAGGCTATATATACCGTTCTTACGTTACCTCTTTAGCCAGACTTCCCTGACGATCCGCGTAGGTGAAACCTTGGTAGGTTTTTCTGGCTCTTTAGGTTTAATTATATATATATATATATATATATATATATATATATACAGTGAATCAGTTTTAATAATTAATATTACTAAGATCCACCCGGATTATATACCAACGGATCGATTACCTGTACTATATATATATGTACTCGACGTATGATGGTCAAG